GCGACTGCCTTCTAGGTCACAGAGACAAATGACTGGATGGAGTGACAGGCACTCGTGCTCCGCTCATGGACTGCTGACCCACATCTTAGAGGACAGAGAAATGGGAATTTCATTTCCAGCTGAGGGAAGGAGAAGAGTCAGCCTTCCCTCCACCATGGGCCACTCTTGAGGAAGTCACTGCCCCGGGCCCTCCAAGGGACGGCCATTCGGGGCATAGCGAGCTGTGAAGCTGGAAACTGACCACACCTGTGAAGCCAGCAGCCCCGTGGGAGAACAGATTGACCCGGAGATTACTAGGCAACAGGGTGCCATGTGACCTTAAAGTGCTAAATGTATAAACAAACACCCCTACAGTGAGGGCCAGTTCCTTTCTACCATCAGGAGAGAGAGGGCTCCACTCGACCCCAGCTTTCAGCTCTTCATTTTCTCATCCTCTTGAGTTAAAGAGCTGTACAGGTCAGGGCATGGCACTGAGCGTAGATGTCCTTCCTGAGGAAAGTTAAGCATAAACGGAGACATGGAGAAGGAAAACAGAGGCGCTGAGGCGTTGTGGGTTCTCCTACGTGTTGCTGTTTGAGCCGCTGGTTCTCCTGGAGAACCCTGGTCCTCACATCGAGCATTGCTTCCTGGCTCCGCTTGGTCTCCAGGGTGAACTCGTCACGCTGGCTTCCTGGCATGTACTCAACTCTGCTTATCGTTGGAGGAACTCAGGGCCTCCGTGTCGCTGAGGGTGGCTGTGGTGCTTTTCAGGACAGCCCTGGTCTTTGAGTGTGACTTCTCAGCTCCAGCATAGAATCCTCACCCTACCAGCACAGCTCCTTCACCCTGCTGGCTAGACTTTCTAGCTTCCACCGCTGACCTTTAGGCCTTCCCAGCACAGATCCGTTAAACAGACTGGTGTGAGTCCACAACTTGTGGACTCTAGACCTCCAGCTGGACTTGTAGGAGGCATTATCATGAGTTCTGGGTCTTCATCTGGACTCATGTGGGACACTGCTGTGGGATTTAGGCCCTTGGCTGATTATCCTATGTCTTTAGTGTTGTGGACAGATTTCCTGCACTTTCTTGTGTTAACTCTGGATGACCATCATAGAACAATAAACTCCATGTCCTGATTCTAGTGGTTCTCCTTACAACCCCTGACTACAACAGATATCACAGATGACACTATCTTCGACTCTGCCACTCGTGGGGAATGTTCCCGGCTGTGGAATATTCCTGCCAGAGCAGCTTTACAATCTCATCTCCTGCACCTTGTCTACATGTATTTTTCATTATTTGTAGTACTGTAGTTAAAGCTTCAAAATATATGTCTGCATCTCAGATAAGAAGAAAATCTCTGAATAAAACCTGCCAACATTAAATAGAGCACGTATTAAAGCTAATGTAGTTTCCTGTCACTGCCCACCCTGTATTTACTTGGAAAAATCTCCAAGCTTCAGCAAAGTTATGAGAACACAAAGCAGTGGAGAAATCGGGACAGTCACACAATTGCAGTTGGACAGTGAAATGATGTAGTTCTTCCAAGAAAGTTCAACATAGTTAACCAGCAAAACCCCCTCCTATGTATACATCCAAAAGGAATGAAAATGTTCACGTAGTCACACAAAAACCTGTAGTAGCAATGCTAATAATAGCCAAAAGGTGGAAGGTACCTAAATGTCCATCAAAATGTCCATCAATGGATAAAAAAAATGTGGACTATCCACGTTATGGAATGTTACTTAGCCATAAAAAGAAGGGCTGGGGATTTAGCTCAGTGGCTTAAGTGCTTCCCTGGTAAGCACAAGGTTGAGAGTTCAATCCCTGGTATCAGAAAAAAATAAAGAAAAGAAAAATAAAAAGAAGTGGGGAACTGACACACACTTCATCCTGTGTGAACACTGAAAGCATGCTAGGTGAAAGCAGCTGGTCGCAAAAGGCTACACACTGTATGTTTCCACTTATGGAGACACCTCAGTACTTAGTTTGTTCTATGACCTTGGAGAAGATGGCCAGATGTGTTTGTGTGGGAAAGATGGCTGCAGTTGTCTGTCACTTGATACAGAGTGTGCAAACAAAAATATAATTTTGCCAGACACTTCTGTTTGTGAACCAGATGATTTGCAAACACAAGTGTTGGTGCAAGGAAGACCACTGCACGTGAAGTATCTAGAAGAGGCAAATCCAGAGACAGACTGCCAAACAGTAATAATGGACTCAGAACTCTATAAACATACTAAAAGCCACTAAATGATATGCTTTATAAGCATTTTATGGTATTTAAATTACATCTCTACAAAGCCATCATTTGTTTTTGGATTTTGGAGACTGGGTCTGGATATGTAGTACAGCTTGGCCTTGATCACACTATGTAGCCCAGGCTGGCCTTGAACTCTGTGATCTTCCTGTCTCAGCCTCCCATGTGCTGAGATTTCAGGCTGGGATTACAGACCTGCACCACTAAGGCAGGTAAAGCTGTTATTTAAAATAAAAAAGAATACAAAACAGACCCACATAACTCTCAACTAGGTTCAGCAATTGGTAAAGTTACACCTTCTTTGCCACGTCTTTTTGTGTAACACACACAGAAAGGAACACAGGCAAATCTAGGGCTGCCCAGCTGAGTTACTTTGCTTCTAATCCTGCAGCATGTGAAGTATTTTCCCATGAACATCATACCCTACAAGCTTAACACCAACGTGAAACTGTTTAACCTGTGGGCCATATTAGAGTTGATTTGTCTTCAACCCGTATGCATGTATTCAATTTTCATATCCCTTTTGTGTCTTTTAAATCTTGAAAGCCTTTCCTTTTTTCTTCCTATGACATTGACATTTGTTGTTTTTTGAGACAAGGACTTACTATGCAGTTCAGGCTGGCCTTGAGCTCAAGGAGTAGCCCAGGCTGGTCTCAAACTGGAAACCATCATCCGGCCGCAGGTTCCTGAGTGCTGGGATTACTGGTGTGTGCCACCACGCCCCTGGGACAGTGGCAGTTTTAAAGAATCCAAGAATTCGGTTTCACAGAATTTTTCTCAAGTGCAACGAGTTTGCAAGTTTCTGTATGAACTTAAGAGTAAACATTTCTGGTAGGAATACTACACAGATGAGCTGGGCCCTTCTTGGTGCATCACGCCAGCAAGTACAAAAAGGCGGTCTCCTCAGTAGTGACGCTAGGGCTGCTGCTGTTGCTCTAGGTTTGGGTGGATTCCCCTATCATAAGCTCTGGCTTGGGGAGTAGCTATTTGAAGAGTAACAAGTTTCCCCGACTGTGTTTTACCCAAAATTGTAGCATCCCTCCAAGCTGTCACCCTTTTGACACACTGCACCCATGTGACCAGCCACCACTATCAATTGCATTCCAGTGTTGGAGCTGTGATTTCAACTGCAGCCACACACCAGAGCTGGTGTCTCCGGGGTTAGGATTCAGGTTATTGTGCTTTTAAAATTCTCCAAGGTGACCGATTCTGACGTAGCATATGTGCTCAGGTTCTGAGTTAAGAGGAAAACTTCCAATAGTCTCACCTTGCAGAATGAGGAAACCAAGTTTAAAAAAGCTAATGGCAAAAGGGAAGAGACACTATGGTAATTACTATTATGTCAAGATTATCTTGTGGTGAAACACTATTTTGCTTAAATGGCTATGTTTTGACCTGTGCTGTTTTGTTGTTATGCCCTCTTTTTTTTATCTCAATGTCCTTTTTATTATCTACTTTTTCATTTTTATCCTTTTAATTAAGGGAAAAATAAATAAAAAATAGCACGATATATTATAGTAAACCACTTTGATTTCCTATTAACTTGATGTGAAACTCTGTATTGCTTTCACCATCTTGTTTTGACTGATTTTCCTCTATTCTGTTATGCTTGATAGTACCAAGTTTGAAAGTATAGGCAACAACTATGAAGACAATAAGATTTATTGTGATGCCCATTCTGGTTGACTATTATCTTCTTTTGAAGTCCTCAATGTCTCCAATGTTTTGGTTTTATTGGTCTTATTCTTTACTGTTTTGTTCAATTTTATTATAACTGATGATTGAGGCAATTCTTCTTAAGATAGCAAGAGGCATTATGGTAACCTTTGTTGATCACCTTGTATTTTGTTTTTACACTATGTATTATGTCCATCCTTTTGATTTGACTGACTCTGTCCTGGTATGTCACATTTGGTTTTACTTTCTTCAAAAAAAAAAGTAATAAGAACTGTGGGAGTAATAAAATCCAAAATGTGTAATTGTCATTGTACAAAAAAAGGAAAAGAAAGTTCTCTAAAAGATATAACTGCATATATATTTAAGTGTATAAGATAGATAACCATATTACTGAGTTTTGTTGGATCATTGAACAAAACTGTAGTCTCACTGTTTGAAAGTCCCCTCTATATGATTTAATTTTGTAACTTCAACAACTATTTCTAAGATGACAATATGTAATTAACTAGTGATTTCCTACTGTTTATTTTTTCTGAAAGTCTGCATAACTTGAACCCTTTTTCTGTTTTTTTTCTTTTTTCTCCTTAAATAAAATTTTTTTAAAAAGCCAATGGCAAGAAACTTGCTAATGACAAAGATCCTACTTTGCATATCCTTGCATTTTAATGGACCACCCTTTCCCCGAAAAAGTAATTTTTGCATTTTGTTAGAAGTGACATGAAGTACGCTGCCACCATATGTCCCTATTCCTACTTCCAAAGTCAACTTTGCTTTTTGATCATTAGACCTTTGCAGTCATGGTAGGACAGAGTGCAGGCGTTTGGTCACCACAGGTCCTCCACCCTTAGGACTCAATGCGACGGCTCGAGCCTGGGGCCCAAGGTCTGGCTGGACACTCAAGGGGCCTGCCGGGCAGAGCTGCAGCCCCGGAGACACCCTCTGCGGACAGCAAGCCGCACCTGGCGGGGAGGCGCACACCTGGCGGGGCACACCTGAGGACGGACTACTGGCCCCACCCAGTCACCCAGACGCACAGAACATGGGAGACTACGGAATCTGCAAACTCGGTCACGCCCCCACTTACCCCAGCATGATACACTTTATTCGCTCTTTTAATCTTGATATCCAGAGAGGTCCCCATCTCCGCTTCTCTGCAGCAGCCGCCACTTCCGGTCGCACGTGACCGGAAAGGAAACAGTGCCAGGCCGCCCCACCCCCATTTCCCTCTTCACCAGCAGTAGCGTCACGTGGCCTCGCACCCTACATCGGCGCGCTCCTCGGGCAGGAAATGGCGTAGACCACAAGCCTTCCTTTTTCCGGTGCAAAGGCCTTCCTTGGCTCAGGCCCAAGGACTCGCACCCCTGCCCCACCCACGCCGGGCGTGAAGGGCGTGGCAGAGTTAGCCCCACCCCTCCGTAAAGGCTGTCTGACGTCGGAAACACCCTCCACTCCCTCCTTGGAAGGGAGGGGGAACCCGAGCCTCTCCCGGCGCGCCCTGCGGCAGGGGGCGGGCCAAAGGCGTCTCGCTGGCACAACCAGTGTGGGAAGGCTTAGCTCCCGTCAGGCTTTACGGCGCTGCGGGGCTGCGCTGTGGAGCCGGCTCTCAGGCGGTTATGACTTGAGAGTTCCTCTTTTCGTCTCTAACCTCCCACTTCTTCCCTGGGGTTCTGAAGCGCCTGCGTTCCCCACCCAGTCCCCTCACCCGCAGAAGCACCCCTCAATCACCCGCAGGGGCGCGGCCCCGCGCTCGCGCCTGCCGAGCGCTGATTGGCTGGCGGCCGGCTGCCCCGCCCCCGCGCATGCCCGGGCCAAGGTCTCGGGAAGCTCTGGGTGACCTCGCTCTGCTCTGAGCCGCGCGGCGCTGGGTCACCCGCCTGCCGGGCTCCGCGGGCGCGATGGCTTCTGGGTATTCCCCAGGCGCGTGTCCTGGAAGCGGGTGCCGAATACCCAGGGCTGCGTTCGGCGTGGGCTGCGCCAGAGTGGGGGAAGGCGCTCAGGCCTGGGTGCGGAGATTGGCTGCAAATGCGAGATTTCAGAGCTCGCATGGACCTGCCTGTTCTTCTTTTTTATTCGCAGTGACAACTGACTAAAGTAGACACGAAATTTTAGCGGGGGAATATTTTGTCCAGCCGGAGCCAGCTGTGCAGGATTAGGCATGGTACTGCGTTTATAGAAATACAATCCCTTATAAATGTTTATTTAAATTCGGACTTTGCCAATAGAGTCCGATTTCATTATTTTGTTAACTGATTTAAACTGTGAAGAAACACGTTTTTTATTTCAGATTTCTTAATTCGGCTTTTTTTTTTTTAAAGGTGCGTTACTTTTAGGGTAACATCAAATTTTCTGTGAAACAATTGATGAAATTAGTATCAGGAATTCCTCCTTGAGAATTTAAGGTGTTTCCGTAGGTCTACAGAGAGGATATGAGAATCAAAACTGGATCATTATTAGTCAGGTGTGGTGGTGCACACCTGTCATTCCAGCATTGGGGAGGCTGAGGCAGGAAGATTGCTGCAAGTTCGAGACCACCCTGGGCTACAGTGAGTTCAAGGCCAGCCTCAACTGCCTAGTGAAACCCTGACTCAGAAAGACAAACCAACCAAACAACAACAACAAAAAAAACTGGGTCGCACTGACACTTGGCAAGAGCTGTACCACTGAGCAATTTCCCCAGTCCTGCACAATTGCTTTTGAACATTGAAAATATTTCCCAATATTCAGGGCCAGCTTTCAACTCCTCTCTGCCCTCAGGGCTTCCCTCTCTGTTTTGAGGATCTTCGTGCCAGTTTAAATTCAGCAATTCTAAAACAGGTCTTTAGGGACTGAGTAATCACAGTATAGGCTGATTTCGATTCAAAAAGTAGACGCTTCCCTAGATTTAGCCATCATTTTGAAGGGTAAGAAAAATCAATTGCAGTAGTTATGCAGGCGCTCAGGGAAAGATCCACTTTAGTGGGTCCACTGGGTTTGAGGTTCCAGTCAACCTGCTTTATGCTTCTCTTACAATAGACCATTGTTGGCTGTTAACAGGAAATCAAGCAGTAACAAATGCTGGAGGGGCTGTGGGGAAAAGGAACCCTTCTCCACTGTTGGTGGGAGTGCAGCCTGGTGCAACCACTGTGGAACTCAGTGTGGAGATTCCTCAAGACACTACAGCTAGAGGTCCCATTCCACCCAACTATTCCCCTTCTGGGTATCTTCCCAGAAGAATTAAAAACATCACACCACAGTGATATATATGCACTTGTGTTTACAGCAGCACAATTTATGATAGCTAAATCTTAGAAACAACCTAAATGCTCATCAACTGGGGAATGTATAGTAGATGTGGTATTTTTATATAATGAGTTACTTCTCAGCCATAAGGAAGGATAAACTAGACATTTTATAGGTAAATGGATGCAACTTGAGACCATAGTCATTAGTGAAATAAGACACACACGTGTAAACATTGTATTGTCCAAATGTGAGAAACGGAAAGAAATAAAATATGTACATATATTAAAAAGTAGTAAAGATAGTTGTTATACTGATTTCCATGAGTTCGATGAAGATTTGTGCTGGTATTTTTCAGACAATTGAACACAGATGTCTTGTGCGCTGGGCGAATAATTTGGGGTGACCATGTGCAACGTACCATTGTTGCCCCCTGAAGAAAAAAAACCAATTAGACCATTTTTGTTCCAAGGGCAGGTGCCGCCTACCTTGCTGGTCTTTTTGGTTATACACAATCTTTACGGAAGAGTCATGTGGTGTAGAGAACTCTGCTCCCAGCAGTCACCAGTGTCACCTATTGAGCCTTCAAACATAAAATAGTCATTTTTCCTCCAGTTGCTACTTCCTTTGTAAATTCTAGGGGTTTTGGGGGTTTCTTGGTACTAGAGATCGAACTCACAACCTTGCACTTACCAGGCAAGCGCTTAAGCGCTTAAGTTCCCAGCCCCATTGCTTCTTTTAATCTTTCCATTTCTTAGTCTCACCCTCGGGGGTACCTTAACTTTTGGTCGATTTCAGTTAGTAAAATCAAAATATATCAAAATGTCCATCTCATTGCTTGAGAGGGACGCTGGGTCCGCAGTGGTGGCAGCAAGGTGTGAGTTGTCCTGGATCTCCGGCAGCCGTCTTGGAGGAAATCACATGTCTCTTAGTTGTCCTAGGCAGACATCCTCTTAGTTTCTCCTTGCACATCTGGACAAATGACCCTGGTTTGAAACTGCTTTCGTATGGCACTGAGGGGAAGGCCTGCTGGGGCTCTCTCTCCTCCAGACAAGACGGGATCCTTGGGAAATTTATCCCAGTTGGATCCTTTCCATGGCTTAATCCTAGCACTCAGGAGGCTGAAGCAGGAGGCTTGCTGCAAGTTCGAGACCAGCCTGAGCTACGTAGTAAGACCCTATCTCGGGGAGAAAAAAGTGAGTTGGTACCTCACAGGGTTGAGCCCTCCAGGGGTGTAGGAAGGGACCCCAGGCTGGATCAGCCTACCCCTGAGGCTTGTCCTGGCCTGTGTGAAGACATGAATGCGAACTACTCCAGCAGAAACACTGGTAGGCACGCCTCTCTCTCCACCCCAGGTGGACCACTTCCAGAGAAGGTAGGAGCGCAGGGGCTTGGAAAGTGAATTCTGAGACGCTGATAACTGAGTTCTATTCCAATAGCATGGTTGACCCACCCCTGCCAGCCAGAATGAATCCTGGAGAAGTAAATTGGGGTAATTTATAGGATGATGATGACTGTTGCTTTTTTGGACCTTTATTTTGTGCCTGTAAATTTTCAAACGGCTCCACATACAAAAATCAATAGGGTTTTCTAGGTACGGCAATAACCAGTTAGAAAATGAAGACGGCAAGCAGGGTCTTAGGGGCACGAAAACATACAATATTTGGAGTAATTTGAATCTGGTATGTGCTTTATTATATGAAGAAGGCCAGGGCTGGAGATTTAGCTCAGCAGCACAAGTGCCTGCTTTGCAAGCATGAGGTTATGAGTTCGATCCTGGAACCAAAAAGAAAGAAAGAAAGAAAGCTGTAACGTGGAGATAAGAAACAATATGTGACAAGATACATTTACAGAACCTCTTAATTGGTACTCTAAATATTTTAAAATGTCAAATTATAAAGTTAATTTATATTTCTAACTATTGGGTTTCCATGTCCCAGTCTAATTTTAATGAGAACATTTAATGAAATAATGTTAAAATTCTTCTGAGACACGGGGTGCAGTGGCTCACGCCTGTAATCCCAGCACTCGGGAGGCTGAGGCAGGAGGATCGTTGTGAATTCAAGACCAGCCTGGGCTACAAAAGAGCTCAAGGCCAGCCTGAACTGCACAGTGAGACCCTGTAACAAAAAGACAGAAAAAAAAAAAGGAGAAGGAAGATTACTAGAGTTTAAGACATACTAAAACAGATTAAGGCACAGCCTTAATAGGAAATGTAAATGCCTACAAAAGGAAAATGATTAAAGTTTAGCAAAAGAAACAGAGAGTGGTGGTGCACACTGTAATCCCAACAGTCAGAAGGCTGAGACAGGAGGATTGCCAGGAGGTGGATGCCAGTCTGTGCTGGCCTCCTGAACTATAAGACCATCCTGAACTACATATCGAGACCCTATCTAAAAAAAAAAATGTGTTTGGCAGAAGATAAAACAGTTGACAGAAGGAAATGCTTGCTATGCCCTTGGATACATGTAATACTGTTTTTAAATGTAAAGCAATACTAATAGAAATAATTATCCCTTCCTTATTCTGGAGTCAGGTAGATTGGTTATAAAATTTGCCTTGGCCCTAATCCTGATCCCAATCTGGGAGTAAAATAAGTGGGGTGAGCTGAGTGAGTAAGAGACCCGAGCTGTGTCTCTTACTGAGTCACACTGTGACCCACTTTAAGGGGGGCACCCTCTAGGCCTGACCAGCCCATGCTTTGCTATGTGAGGAGCCCAGGGGCCTCAGTGGAATGGCTATGCAGAGGCCACGAGGAAAGCGAAGGCAATGCTCAACGTGAAAAAAAAATCTAAATTCTTTGGGAATTCACAGAAAATTATGAACAATGGAAACAATTTGATTGACAAAATAGGCATGGATCAATCAATTAGGCTTTCACATTATGAGCTATGATGCAGTTGCTAAAAATAAGATACCAGCTGAGTACAATGGCCCAAACTTGTAATTCCAGCCTTTTGAGAGGCTGAGGCAGGAAGGTCAACAGTTTGAACCCAGCCTAGGCAACTCATGATGCCTTGTCCAAAATAAAATATATGGAAAAACACTGAGTATGTAACTCAGTGAAAAGG